AAATTAATATTAGTAACTACTATCTCAAATTAATTATAAATATAAAGGATATTAGTGATCAATTAAAAATTAGTCATCATTTTCAGTCATAAAAACCTATTTTCTTATAGTGAGTCTCTTGATGAAATTTATAATTATAGTTGTAAATGAGTAAACTTGAACTGAGTTCCTTAAAATTCAAATTCAAATTCGATATAAAGGTAATGAGTCAAGTTCGAGTTTTTATTAAGTTTAAATATATTGAACTTGAACTTAACTTATAAACTTAAGAACAATGATTGATATATCTTCTGATTCAACATATTTCACAATATATTTATTAAGAAATTATTATTTTTAAATTTGAATTAAAGGTGAAAAAAAATTTCAACTTTAGAATCTAATAACAATCGGTGAGTATTAATAAATGTGTTAAATTGAAGAGTATACTAATAATTTTCTATGAACTCAAACTCAATTCATGGGTTAGCTTTATGGATTACTTAAATTTAATTTAAAATTTAAATAAAAATAAAAGTAATATTTCAAATATTAATATATATAATTGTTTTTTAATATAGTTAAGTCAAGTATAGTCATGTCTAGCTAAGTTTTGAATTGAACTCAAACTCGAATCAAATGAACCAAACTCAAACTCAAATCGAGTAACTCATTTATAGCTTTCCTTACAAGTCACTACATATAAAAATATTAACTAATATCATATGCAACCATTAAAAAAAATAAATAATCAGTTATACTATTATTTTTTTCCCATAATGTTTTGGACTATGTTCGTGATTAGACGAGCAAATTTATATAATTAATTCATATATTCCATCAAATAAAAAGAGTTAATTACTGATATATGTTGTATAAAATATCATAAGGATGAAAAACGTATAAAATTAATCGAAGAAAAATGTATTTTTATACATTGGATACAAACAAGTCAATGTAGCTTGTTGGACTTACATTTTTGGCAGCAGTACTGAAAGCTTCCCTGTGGCTTATATCTGGATTATTAGTCTTGATCCTTTGAATCTCCTCTCTGCAGGAATATGCCATTTTTTGTTTAGAAAACTTATTACAAACTAATTCACTCTTTATGTATTTTTTTTATCTTGGCCGCTTACACAATAAAAAAAAAAAAACTTTTTCCTATCACTTAACTTATGTTATTTACACATCATACGATGCGTGAACTCAAAAAATCTTATTTTTACTAGAAAAAATTACTACTAAATTGCATGCTTAGGTTGTTGATAACTAATTCACACTAATTAATTTATCATAAAAGAATAAAAAATAATACTAAAGATGTTTATGTAATTACTTGATGAACTGATTGTACAATGAAGGTGCCCGGTGCCTTTTGTTGGGAGCTGAAAAGATACGGATATAAAACATTATAGTGTTGAAGTCCTGCTTGTATTCTAATTAATAAAATTTATTTTGCTTATAAAAATATTACGTAAGTAAGAACTTTTGAGAGAGAGGAGCAATTACTTAAAATTATGAAAATTAATTCTTCTTCATGGTATTAAAACAAAAAAAGTACTGGGCAATTACTAACGTGGATTTACGATCCTTTCCTGCATGGTATTGAGGGTTGTTGCTTTCCTCACATACTTGTTCTTATTACATTTGGAAGAAGAGCCCAACTCATTTTGGTACTTCAACAAGCAGGAGTTTGTAACCTGAAACAATTTAACAGAATTTTGATGATATAAAAGCTTGAATATTGAATTTTTTTTTCTCCTGTTTCTCCACAAAGCAATTTTTTTTTTTTTTTGCAATTTCTTTTTGCTACTGAAAATTTAGTAAATTTGGCTTTACTTGATTACATTAGCAAATTCAATCTAATTATCTCACCACAAAATTTCACAATAATCATATATTATTAAATAAATAAATCATGTTTACACACTTATTAAGTGAAAAGAGTCAATTAGAATCACTCCTACATAGTTGATTTGTTAAAAAAAAAAAAATGGAAAAACCTTAGAGCTTACTGTCGATGATTCTATTGTTTGATAAGATTGAGTATATATATGTGTGAATCATTGTCTTATATATTTATAATCTTCAACAGGAAGATGCCCACAACCTAAGACAAAATGCTAGCAGTATGTAGGTATTAAGATAAATGCTTAATTTGGGGAGCTCATCAAGGGGTTAGGCTCCCAAAATTGAGGAATTTCATTAAAATCTTTCCTTTTTTGTTTATTTCTTCTCTCTTTTTAAAACAATCCTTACATACAATTTTCTTGGTGTTCAATTTTGAGCAGCAAGCATATTAATTGCCATAATATATTTTGGAGTTTAAAGCAAAATAATTAAACCTAGATCTCAACCATATAAGCTTTTTTTTTTTTTTTGGGGGGGGGGCTATTAACCGTCGCTTCAAACCCTATATTTTCAACAAGAACCTCACACTATAGCCCAAATAAAAAGAAAAAATAAATAAATAAAAGAAGAAGAAGAACCTCACCTGTTCACTATCTTGAGCAGATCTTGATCGTAATGTAGCCAAGTTCACCGCCCAAAGATTGCAGCACTGCTCACATCGAACAGTCACTGTGTCGAACAATCTGCTTGAAGGAACACCCACCTGAACAAAAACATACATATATGTAAGATCTAGATCTTCTTTTGTACATGGGAGAGGAGGAAATCAAGAGAAAAAGTAGTGCTTTTCTTTGAAACTTGGAACTGTAGCGCTCTAGGGTTAGAAAAAACTGCTTTCTTTTTCCCCCTTTTTTTTTTCTATTTATTTTTCTGGGGTGTGTGCCATTTTGTGTTCCTTGATCCTTCAAGATTTTTAGCCTAGAATGGTTTTGTTTTGGAAAAACCCATCTTAATCAATTTAGTACTTTCTGAGAAGAAAGGACTGCAGCAGATATATAAATGAAAATCAAAGGGAAAAATTTTTGGTTATCACTTTTCTGAATGAGGAAAGAGGTGTAAGAAAGAGACCTGACTTAATTTTATAACCTGAAACCAAAATGAGGAAAAAAATGATGGTGGGATTTTTTTTTTAAAAAAACATTTCTGTTGAACAAGATCAGTTATATATACCGCAAGAACTGAGTTACAAATGTTGCAAGGAATATAGCACAGCTCTGATCCTGAAGAAATATTTGAGCTTGACATTTTTCGATATTGTTCTCAAGCTCAAGCATCAAAGTATATATTCAAAAAAGCTCCTGAAATAAACCAAGAAAAGAGGAGAAGAAACGAAGAAAAACACAGGAAGCTTTCCCTGCAAACACAGAGGGCATATCTTTATTTATTAGCAGGAAAAGTCGGAACAAGGAAAAAGGCAGATTAACCGAGAAGAGAGAAAATATCAATAGAAAGAGTAAAGCCAGTGTGTGTGAAAAACGCAAGCCATTCGTATTCAACAAACTAATAATGGAGTCCAACTAGGCATCATATTTGTCTTTCTTTTTCTTTTTCCCTTTTTTTTTTTTTTTATACATAGAGACTAGAATTAAACCCTTGAATATAGGTAATTTTATTACTAAACCATCTAACTAATGTTGCATTGCAAGGCTTTAGTTTAATAATTAATAGTTATGCACACATATAGAGGCTCAAAAAGTTCAAATCCAAATCTATTACCCTTAAATTCATTAAAAAAAATGAAAAAATGAAAAGTCTAATAATGGAAGCAGTAGATGACATTATATCGTAATAGAGAGAAGGGAAAAACAGATGTATATAACAACTTAAGTTGGCCAAGTTGCAAAATCGAGGCGGATATTTATACAGTAATGATATAACTAGAATGTTTTTCTTAATTACAATTTTTTATACAATGTGACGTGGTATCAAACATAAGTGAAGAGGCAGAACAACACTAACCTTTATACTTTTCAGTTATATATTATTATATAATATATTTATTAAAAAATTATTATTATTAATTTAAAATTAAAAATAAATAAATTTAAAAATGTATTCATACATACAATATATAAAAAATCAATTGAATCAATTATAGTTATATTATATTTTAATTTAAACCAAGTAATGTCAAAAAATGTGCAAAACCTTATTAATCATTTTCTTTATAATTCCTTCACACACACTAACACTGAACTATGAGACATTTATAAGGAATTAGCTCATAGCCGAAGGTTAAGCCTAATTTCATTTCAATATCAATTTTCTAACTTCATTTAAATATTCAAATTTGTTGGTGTAGTTTTTTTTAAGAGATCATTCACATAAAAATTAAAAAATTCATAAAAAAAATTATTATTTTATTAAACAAATTACATTTTATCTACATGTAGTTTCAAAGGTGCACATAACTACACTAAAATTTCAAATTATAGAGTAGGTATCTATAATAGTTATCTTGATTGCGTGGTGGCTCAAGAAATTTTAAAAATGCTAGCTTGCTTTTAAAAGTTCTTGTGTGTATTATACCTAAGAAGGCAGAAACTGAGAAAAGGTCTCATCT